ATTAATATCGAATACCGGGGGTCCACTGTGCTTATCGTCTCCATTCACTCCTATCTTAACACGCTCACGCATGCTTGCTGGAAGTCCAAGCCCCTCGCCCACGAAACCTCCTTTACCCCCTCCCAACAACCCTTTCGAGGATGACCCCTACCCTGCCTTCCTTCCACTACAGATTTATACGCTCTCATGTGATTCTACTTTGATCCATTCTCTCTAAATGACCAAACCACCTCAACAACCCCTCTTCAGCCCTCTGACTAATACTTTTATTAACTCCACACCTTCTCCTAATTTCCACATTCCGAATTTTTTTGCATAATATTTGCACCACACATTGCCCTTAGACAGGACATGTCCACTGCCTCCAACCATCTCCTCGCTGCAGCATTTGCAACCCAAGCTTCACACCCATATAAGAGTGTTGGTACCACTATACTTTCATACATTCCCTTCTTTGCCTCCATAGATAACATTCTTTGTCTCCACATATACCTCAATGCACCACTCACCTTTTTACCCTCATCAGTTCTGTGATTAACCTCATCCTTCATTAATCCATCAGCTGATATGTCAACTCCCAAATATCTGAAAACATTCACTTCTTCCATACTCCTCCCCAATTTAATATTCAATTTTGCTTTATCTAAATCATTTGATACCCTCATCACCTTACTCTTTTCTATGTTCACTTTCAACTTTCTACCTTTACACACACTCCCAAATTCGTCCACTAACCTCTGCAATTTTTCTTTAGAATCTCCCATAAGCACAGTATCATCAGCAAAAAGTAACTGTCACTTCCCATTTTGTATTTAATTCCCCATAATTTAATGCCACCCCTCTCCCGAACACCCTAGCATTTATAGTGGAACCTCGCCTAAAGAACGGATTGCATAATGTTAAATCCGCCTAGCGATACATTTTAACGCAATTTTTGCCTCGGCTAGCGCTAAAAAACTCGCTCAACGCGGTTCATTCGAGACGCGTCCACGTGCAGCCTGAGCCAGCCTCACTTGTTCCATGGGTGCCAGTGATTTCAAGCCAGCCACCGCTGTCGCTTCCAGGCATACAATCAGAACATTTCATATTATCACAGCCTTTTTAGTGATTGTACCTGCAAAATAAGTCACCATGGGCCCCAAGAAAGCTTCTAGTGCCAACCCTACAGCAAAAAGAGTGAGAATTACTATGGATATGAAGAAAGAGATCAATGCTAAGTATGAAAGTGAAGTGCGTGTCTCCGAGCTGGCCAGGTTGTACACAAAACCCCAATCAACCATCGCTACTATTGTGGCCAAGAAAATGGCAATCAAGGAAGCTGTTCTTGCCAAAGGTGCAAATTTGTTTTCGAAACAGAGATCGCAAGTTATTGAAGTTGTTGAGAGACTGTTATTGGTGTGGATAAACGAAAAACAGATAGCATGAGATAGCATCTCTCAAGCGATCATATGTGAAAAGGCTAGGAAGTTGCATGACGATTTAATTAGAAAAATGCCTGCAACTAGTGGTGATGTGAGTGAATTTAAGGCCAGCAAAGGTTGGTTTGAGAGATTTAAGAATCGTAGTGGCATACATAGTGTGATAAGGCATGGTGAGGCTGCCAGTTCGGACCAAAAAGCAGCTGAAAAATATGCGCAGGAATTCGAGGAGTACATAGACAGTGAAGAGTTGAAATCTGAACAAGTGATTAATTGTGATGAAACAGGCCTGTTTTGGAAGAAAATGCCAAACAGGACTTACATTACTCAGGAGGAAAAGGCACTCCCAGGACATAAGCCTATGAAAGACAGGCTTTCTGCGGAAATGAGCTTCATTAAGGTCAAGTTTTTGCCTCCTAATACCACTCCTCTCCTGCAGCCCATGGACCAGCAGGTCATTTCCAACTTGAAGAAACTACACAAAAGCTCTGTTTGAAAGGTGCTTTGTAGTGACCTCATTAACTCAATTGACTCAGAGAGTTTTGGAGAGATCACTTTAGCATCCTCAGTTGTGTAAACATTATAGGTAAGGCTTGGGAGGAAGTGACTAAGAGGACCTTGAACTCTGCTTGGAAGAAACTGTGGCCAGAATGTGTAGACAAAAGGGATTTTGAAGGGTTTGAGGCTAACCCTGGGAATCCTATGCCAGTTGAGGAATCCATTGTGGCATTGGGGAAGTCCTTGGGGTTGGAGGTTAGTGGGGAGGATGTGGAAGAGTTGGTGGAGGAGGACAATGACGAACTAACCACTGATGAGCTGCAAGACCATCTTCAACAGCAAGAGACCACACCTGAGGAAACTGCTTCGGAGGAGGGGATGCATAAAGTGAAGAAGTTGCCTACTTCAAAGATTACGGAAATGTGTGCAAAGTCGCTTGAGGTGCAAAGCTTTTTTGATGAAAATCACCCTCAGACAGCTATTGCAAGCCGTGTTGGCAACCTGTACACTGACAATGTTGTGACCCACTTTAGGAAAGTCATAAAGGAACGGGAGGTACAGGCCACTATAGACAGATATGTTGTGCGACTGAGGTCCAGTGACTTTCAAGCTGGTCCTAGTGGCATTAAAAGAAGAAGGGAAGTAACCCGGAAAAGGACTTGCCACCTCAAGTCCTAATGGAAGGGGATTCCCCTTCTAAACACTAACACCATCAACACTCTCCCCTCCTCCCATCCCATCAATCATCACCAGATCTTCAATAAAGGTAAGTGTCATGTAACTGTGCATGTCTTCTTCAGTTTGTGTATTAAAATTAATATTTCATGTGGTAAAATTTTTTTTTTGTTCATACTTTGGGGTGTCCTGCACGGATTAATTTGATTTCCATTATTTCTTATGGGAAAAATTAATTCGCCTAATGATAATTTCGCCTAACATTGAGCTCTCAGGAACGGATTAATAGTGTTAGGCGAGGGTCCACTGTACTTCTTTTATAACCCCATCTATAAATATATTAAACAACCATGGTGACATTACACATCCCTGTCTAAGATCTACTTTAACTGGGAAGTAGTCTCCCTCTCTTCTACACACCCTAATCTGAGCCTCACTGTCCTCATAAAAACTCTCTACAGCATTTAGTAACTTACCACCTATTCCATATACAGTGGACTCCCGCCTTACGATATTAATCCGTTCCTGAGAGCTCATCGTAAGCTGAAATTATCGTAATACGATTTAATTATTCCTATAAGAAATAATGGAAATCAAATTAATCTGCTCCTGACACCCCAAAGTATGAAAAATAAATTTACCACATGAAATATTAATTTTAATACACACAAACTGAAGAAAACATGTACAATTACTACTCTACTAAGAATAGAATACATGACACTTACTTGTATTGAAGATCTGGTGATGATTGATGGGATGGGAGGAGGGGAGAGTGTGGAAGTTGTTATTGTTTAGACTGGGAATCCCCTTCCATTAGGACTTGAGGTAGCAAGTCCTTTTCCATGGTTACTTCCCTTCTTCTTTTAATGCCACTAGGACCAGCTTGAGAGTCACTGGACCTCTTTCACACAACAAATCTGTCCATAGAGCTCTGTGCCTCCCATTGTCATTGTACAGGTTGCCAAGATGGCTTGCAGTAGCTGTGTCAGGGTGATTTTCATCCACAAAGGTTTGCAGTTCAACCCACTTTGCACACATTTCCTTAATCTCTTTTTTTCAATTCCATACTAATTCTTGCCCTTTTTACCACAGGGATGGTACTAGAAGCTTTCTTGGGGTCCATGGTGACTTTTTTGCAGTTAAAAGCACTAAAATCACTGGGATAATGTGAAATGTACCGAATGTATGCTTAGATGCGACCGCACTAGCTGGCTTGTAAACACTGGCGCTGAGGCCACACGTGGAATGCATCCTGGACGAATCATGCAAGGCGAGTTTTTTTTACCGTGAGGCGAGGCAAAATTTTTGCGTTAAAATGGTTTGTATGGAGAATTTAACGTAAAGTGATGCGTTCACAAGGCGGGGGTCCACTTTATTATTGTTGTTATATTATTATTATTATTATTATTATTATTATTATTATTATTTTTATTATTATATAAACAATTTGTAATTTTTATTCACACAAAAAATGTAAGATTTACTGTTATTCCTTATTGCAATAATTTGTAAATAATGTCAACCCATTCACGACTGCATATTGGAATTGACAGCCAAGCAATGAACCATTTCTCGTAGGTTGAGCTCTATTTCAAGGCACTTTTCATCATGAAAGCAATATATCTTCCATTCTATCAAATGAGACCAAAAAAACGAGAATACAACCATAAAAACCACTCGAAATTACCGCAAAGGGGTGGCTAATTGCTGAGAAGTGTACTCCATTATTTATTCTTAGATTTCTTTCATTTTTGGTGTACGCTAAGAAGCATCTTTCCATCATACATTGTCCAAGTTTCAATAAGATAGTCCAACAAACAAATGAGATACAATTCCTGAGATCAAGAGCAAGAGTCCCTCACCAGTGTCAAGGAACCTGCCTTGAGGTCTCCTCGCTTGTGGAAATTTTGCTTGCGTATAGAAGCAAAAAATCGATGCATCGACTGCTCGTATTTGGAATAACTCGCACATGGACACGCTCACAAGTAGAGGTTCCACTGTATTGGTATTATTGGATATAGACTATTCTTGATGGTATTGTTATCAGCTTAAAATTGAATATCAGTATTGGTATCGGCATTTTGAAGTTGTTGAAAGCCCTGGCCTCAACATGTCCAGTTCTTCTGGATTAGATTACATAGTTATTGTTAAAGACAGTATTTTTATATTATTGGGTAATGTTATTAACACACACAAAAAGAGTATCATCAAATGTTTGAAATATTCCTGTTGGGTATTATACCATTAGTGAGAAAACAGTGATTCCAGAGGAAGATTCTTCTTAGGCATCATCACTCTTCAGGTATGATGATAAAACCAGTATGAAGAGCAGCTTGAGTATTGGCTATTTATTGGCAATATCACCAGCAAAATATAGAGGATGATTGGCATAAGCTTCTCTTTCAGTTACATCTGATAAATCTGACTGGCTTTGTCAAGAGAAAAGCTTTGAGTGATCGCTTGAAGTACTGTGACGAAGTAATGGAAGACATATTAGACTCTGCTGATAAGCCTATGACTGGTAAACGATGGTGGGTTAAGAGTGATGAACCTTGGCAGACACTGGCAGCATGCAAAGAGGTTAGTGTGACTGTTACATTCATGTGATTTTCTTGCTAGCACTAAATACAATATTCAATTTTACAGTATAATGATACATATCGGTGTATGGAAATGTGGAGACAAAGCAGCAGTGTTTGTATTATTGAATGTTATTAGTGCAATCAAAATAAATTCTCTTGTGACAAATACAATCATGTCTCAACATTCACAGATGTTACATTTCTGGAAACCCAGTAATTACAGAAAAATTTGTGACAGTACAGTAGTATTTGTGAACACTAAAGCAGGATGTGAAGGAGAGTCATCAATGCCAGTAATTTAGTACAAATTTTGTTTCAGAGGCACTGTTGCTTTAAATATTGCTCTAATCTCATTAATATTGATGAGAAATAATGTTAAAAAAATTAGAAATTTTGGTGTTGACTATGCAGTAAATACATTTTGAGCAAAATCCTGTTGTTAATTTCCAGAGCAGAGGTTGTATGCTAAGCCAAATGACAATGGTCATTGCATAAACAAATCCACATTTTTTATCTGTTTGTACCAAAAATATGAGCACGTCTCGCATTCACTGTGCATTTTTATTTAATTTTGTTCTTTCCTATTGTAGAACTACACAATTGTTTTAACAGTTAGCAGCAGCCCTCCGATGTGGTGATCCTTCAAACTATGTTTGCCATCTGCCGATTCACCAGGATGGTTCGTGTAATGGTTTGCAGCATTATGCTGCTCTTGGCCGTGATAAGAGTGGAGCTATATCTGTGAACTTGGCACCCAGTGAAGTACCACAGGTATGTTCAAGTTAAATATATTTTTGAATCCTGGAGGTGGGAAGTACAATGCCTCCATTTTAACCCTTAAACTGTCCAAACGTAGATCTATGTCCATGTGCGGGGGGCTCGGAACGTAGATCTGTGTCCATGTGCAGGGGGCTCTGAACGTAGATCTGTGTCCATGTGCAGGGGGCTCTGAACGTAGATCTATGTCCATGTGCGGGGGGCTCTGAACATAGATCTATGTCCATGTGCGGGGGGCTCTGAACATAGATCTATGTCCATGTGCGGGGGGCTCTGAACGTAGATCTATGTCCATGTGCAGGGGGCTCTGAACATAGATCTATGTCCATGTGCGGGGGGCTCTGAACGTAGATCTATGTCCATGTGCGGGGGGCTCTGAACGTAGATCTACTTTTTTTTTTACATGCTTTCAAATGGGGAAAATCAAGGTCAGAGCGCTAAGCATGTGAATATAGATCTACGTTTGGACAGTTTAAAGGTTAAAGGAGGGGTTTGGGATATTGGCTGTTTGGAGTAACATCTAAATTGTCATGTCTGAGCACTTCTGCAAAGACAGTGATTATGTGTGAATGATGGGAATGGGAATATTTACAAGCAACTGGCACTAGCGAACTATTGCTGGAGGTCCAGAGAAGTGGAAATAACAGAGGAGTATTTACAACAGTCATAAGTAATAAAACGAGTGATGGTAGCATTGAGGTGCAGGGAATCGCAGTATACATAAATTAAGCATACAATCGATGAAAAGGCATGAGTCTACTGTGTGACTGGTTTTTCCCCGTTACTTCTCGTAAGTTTACTGCTATGGAAGTGCAGGGGAAAGTTACCGTAGGCCTAGTGCCAAGTGAACAATATAACGATCCCAGTGTAGTGCAGTGAAAAGAAAAGTGTACCTTGAACGAATACATTGTATATCCTTGAGATAACCAGTGATAAAATAAAAGGAAATAAAATAAAAAACAATTGTGAAGTGTGGCAGTGGTGGGTCAATGTACCTGTCCTGGTGTTGACATGTGACAAGTGATACACCAAGGTACCAGTTACCACATATAACGAATAGACTAGGATACCGACACATAGTTAGGTGTTACCACACAGTGGGTCGTGTTTTGTACTGAAGGTCTGTTTCTCATCTCATAAGGAATATAGTGAATATAGTGCATAATATACGGAAGATATTCATGGGTCGACCATCACCTGCGAGAAAAAAAAAATTGTCCGAGGTGACGGTGAAGTGCAAACTATCATACAAGTGTTATAACGAGGAAAAAAGGATATAAATAGGCAGTGATATAGTAAACTGAACTTATGGATAAGAGTTAATCCTTTTAATCCCAAGTGTAGTGCAAAACTATGGTATAATTATATGGGAACAAGTGCGCAAGTGCCACCCGCACCCCACCTCCAAGCCCCCGCCTCGTGCCCCACCCCATTCCCCAGATCCTACCCCACCCATCCAACAACCCCACCCATGGCCCCCCTCCTCGCACCCTCACCTTCTTTCCACAGACCCCTATCTCCCAGCTTACCACCCCACTGCACAGCCCCCTCCTATTGTCCCTACCCTCTCCCCAAGGATACCCACCGCCCTGCCCACCCCACCTACCAGCCACCCCACCACCAGCCACACATAACAAATACACCATCCACCACATACACCTGTTTAAAATCATGGCCAGGAATAAAGGCTGTTGTATATGTGAAAAAATCTTTGGGAGAAACATGAGGGGCATTGATTGTGAAATATGCGATAAAACATCACATATATCATGTACAAAGCTCCATGCAACCATGACAAATGACCCAAAACAAGAAAGTCATTTCTGGATTTGTCCCAGTGAAAGGGACAGCTGGTTAAGCATAAGAGAGGTTCTGAAAAGTGAAAACCTAGAAAGCATAAGGAAGTTTCTAAGGAGCTTGCCAGAGTTATACAAAGAGTGGAAAACAGGTGAAAAGGAACAAAAAAAGGAGGAAAATGCAAATATAGATGGAAACCAAGGAGTGAAAGTAAGAGCAAGAGTAGAAAACGTCATACAGAGCAAGTCGGAAAAGGAAACAGGGATACATAACACAGCGGAAAGGGGAAGGGAGGATGAGAAAACTAGAACAGGTACAAACGAAAACGAGCAAAGGGAAGAAATTAGCCTAGAAGAAAGTGAACAAGGGAACTCAGATCAGGTGGCAAAACTTGGGCAAGACACAGAACCAATTAATATAGGTAGTCAGAACATTTGCAGTTATTATGCTGAAGGTATGTGCCTATATGGCAGAGATTGTTGGAATAAACACACCAGAAAATGTGCGAACATGTTGAGGAAGAGAAAGTGTCGTATCAACAAAGAGTGCAGCAGGTACTTCCATCCAGTAATGTGTAAAGCTTCAACACAGTCCAGAGAATGTTATGACCTGAGCTGCCCAGACCATCATGTAAAAGGAACGCAGTGCTACAGAGTTAGCAGAGAAAGAGAAATTGAACAGCATTCTTTTTTAGACAAAAAGAGAAAAGATCAAAACAAAGGAAGAAACAAACAGGAGGAATGGTACAGAGAGGACAGGTGGGCAGTAAAATGGGGCGTACCAAACCAGGCATCAGCCCATCAAGGCCGAATAAGCAAACAAACACGAAGCCAGTACTGGAGAAACCAGGGGCATGTACACCAGGGGACATACCAGGTAGTACACCACCAGTGGTACTAATGAAACACAAAGCAAGACAAAACATCCCACTTGGTAATTCCTGCTTCATATTTGCAAATGTACAGGGTTTGAAGCGAATGCCATATTCGGAGGATTTACAGAAACACATGCAAGGAATGTTTTGGACGGAGAGATAAAGATAGAAAACTACAACATGTATAGATGTGATAGAATCAATAGGTCACAGGGAGGAGTAGGAATCTATGTAAAGGATACTTTCTGTTGCACAGAAGTGCTGAATTCTACGAATGATATAGTAGAAATTCTAGACATTAAAGTTGAAAATAGGAATTTGGTAATTATCCTAGTATGCAAACCACCATCGGCAACTGCTGAGGAATTCACAGATCAGTTAAGTAAGATAGATAGCTATCTGGATAGGCTAGAAAATCCTACACCAAATATTTTACTCCTTGGAGATTTTAATCTCCCTCGTAAAATGGAAGATGGAGCAACGTAATGTTATACCAGAAATATCCCTGGGAAGCACCCTGGCTCAACAGGTACATACCAGGGAAATAATGAGGTTTTGTGAAAAGTACTCTTTAAACCAACAGGTAATTGATTTCCCACTAGAAATGAAAATTTCCCTGGATTTGATATTCACAAACAACGAGGAACTGACAGAGACATAACAGTTTCCAAAATTATTTACCTCGATCATAACATCATAGAGGCTCAAACTAGTATTAACTTAAGGGTAGGAAACTGCATCGCTAAAGTTAGAGACGGGATGTTCAGTAAGTTTAATTTTAACAACCATAGAATTAACTGGGAAAAATTAAAACAAGAGCTATCAAACATAAACCCCGGGAATCAGACATGAGCGACCTAAATCCCCACCAGTGCCTAGAGAAGCTGAATACAGAAGCATACAAAGCATGTATGAAACATGGGACCACTGAAGAAACCCCGAGGAAGATCATATATAGAGAGAGAGTGTAGGAGATGGTGCAGAAGAAGAAAAAGGGTTACTGAACTGCTTAATAACACAGATTGCTACAAAAAGAGGAAAGATAGACTTAGCAGAGAGTTACTGAAATTTGAGCAAAAACTTAAGATGTCATACCTCACAGAAGAAGTACAAAGGGAACAAAAGGCCATACAGGGGATTGCAAGAAACCCAAAATATTTCTATTCCTAAGCAAAATCCAAGCTAAGAACTACCTGTAGAATTGGACCACTACTGAGAGGAGATTCGTATACTGACGCTGAACAGGAAATGAGTGAAATCCTAAAAGAATAGTATGAGTCGGGTTTTTCAGCAACCCACTAAATGACAGCAAGGTAGAAAATGCAGAAATATTTTTCACTCCAGAAGATGGCCACACAGACCAACTAACTGACATAAGTACAAATCCCATAGATTTCGAAAAAGAAAAAAGGACAACATGCCCACTCACTCAGCACCTGGACCCGATTCTGGAATGCTCTATTTATAAAGACGTATAAAGCACCCTTAGCACGAGCACTTGGCATTCTTGGAGAAAGAGCTCAGATGTATGTGAAATACCAGAGGCCGTAAAGAGTGCAGACAGCTCCTTTGCATAAGGGAGGTAGTAGAGCACTAGCTAAAAATTACAGACCAGTAGCCTAACTTCTCACATCATAAAAATATTTGAAAGTGTGGGTGAGACGGCAGATTACAAATTTCATGGACCCCGCACAACCAACATAACCCAAACCAACATGGTTTTAGAGTAGGACGATCATGCCTGTCACAGCTGCTGAAGCATTATGACAGAATTACGGAGGCTTTGAAAGATGACCAAACCACAGATTTTGATTTACACGATTTTTTCAAAGGCATTTGACAAATGTGACCATGGAGTGATAGCGCCATGGGCATTACAGAGAAGGTAGGCAGATGGATTTTTGGGTTCCTAATACACACAACACAAAAAATAGTAGTGAACAGGGCAAGATCCAGCATAAGCGAGGTCAAAAGCTTAGTGCCCCAAGGCACTGTCCTGACACCTCTGCAGTTAATCATCCACATAACAGACATAGATTAAAACACCTGGCACACTTTTGTATCATTTGCAGATGACACTAAAATAAGCATGAGAGTCACTATGGTAGAGGACACTGAAAAAGTACAGGTCTCCCTCCACATTCGCGAGGGTTAGGGGATCAAGAACCTCGCGAATGTTGAAAAATTGCGAAAGTTTGGTTCACAAATATATTGTAGGGAAATATGATAATAGCATTTACTTAACCTAACAATACTGCTTCCTTAACCTTTTGAACCATGAACAATCATAAAACACATGAGAACATTGTAAAATATTGTACTA